ATAGTCACAAAAAGGAATAAAGCACTGCTAAATGCTACATCATGGATGAACTCTGAAAACACAACGAATGAGAGGAAGCAGTCACAACCAACTACATATTGATCCCATTTGTAGGAAAGGTCTGAAAACAGGCCCATCTACAGAGAAAGTAGATGAGCGATTAGTAGATTGATAGATCAGCTTAGGTCTGGGGTGAAAGGTGATATGGGATCGATAGCTAAAGGGGACAAAATTTATCTTTGAGGCAATTAAAAATGTTCTAAAATTGACTGTGATGATGGCTGCATATATCTGTGAATATGCTAAAAAACACAGAATTATACAATTAAAACGGGTGACTTGTATAGTATATAAATTATATCTCTACGAAGCTATTTTAAAAAAACCCTTCCAGTGGTGAGGCTGGCAGGTGGTGTGGTGGTTAAAGGTGTTAGATTCCCACATGGCCAACCACGAATCAAGTCCTGAACCTGTTGGCTTGCCTTCTCACTTCTCTCTTTCTGTCTTTCTCTGGTCAAATTAATCTAATAATGATAATAACAACAACAACAATAACAAATGAAAACAAATAAATAAATCTTAAAAAAAAAAAAAGAAAAAAGAAAAATCTTTCCAGTGGCCCATCACAGTTCTTAGCACATGAATCCCAAATCCTTGTCTCTGCTGCAAGACCATACATTGTATAGCTCCCACCCACTCCTCAAACCACATCTTAGACCTTCTCCGTGACTTCAACACTCAGCACACCTTCTTTCAGTTTCTGCAAGTACCAAGTACCTTCCCACCAGAGAGTCTTTTCAATTTCTGTATTTTCTGCTTGGGATACATATCCCCTCCTCTCCACCTTGCTATCAGTTATGCTGCAGGTCTCAGTCCAAGCATCACACCCTTAGAGGGCCTTTTCTAAGCCTCCAGGAGAAGGGAAGTCTTGAGGAAGCAGATTTTCTGTAATATACTGTAATAATTCACACTACCTCTATTTCCCCCCCTTTCTTTTAATTGCCAGAGGGCATGTGCCCTTGCCATAGAGACAGGGAGAACTGGAGAAAAAGGAAGCAACCCTCCCCCCACCCCCGATGGGGCTTGATCATGTCACAACCCCTTCTCTTCCATTTCTCCATCTGTCAGGATCTCGGGCACATGCATCCAGTGTATTGGATGAGGGATCCAGCTCCCTTAACCACTAGGCTATGGGACCAGCCCATACTACCTATTTATAGTATGAGGAATTTTCAAAATTTTTGTAGAAAAATAGAATAAAGGTACAAGCTTATTTTGATTTAAAAAAGAAATTCATACAGGTCATTCTTTTTCTTTTGGAGAGGTTTTCGCTATAGGGCGTGTGCGCTCGCCAGATAGATAGAGACATAGAGACAGAAAGCGAGAAATCACTGCCCAGGGGGGATGGCCACGCCGCAATCCCTTCTCCTCCATTCTCCTCTTGGGATCTTGGGCATGCACGCACATGCGCCCGGCGTGAGTTTTAAGCCACCGGGTCCGGGACGTGAACTGTGGTCAACTACGTGGGAGTCCAGCGACATAGCCATTACGCTAACTGCTGGTTCCCCAGGTCATTCTTAATATGAATTTTCTGTGAGCTTTTGGAAGACTCTTCGCATGTGTCCATAGGAAGTATTATTTAATGTTTGTCTTTCTCATTAGTATATATGTTTCTCAAGGATGCAGATCAACTTGTCTGGCTCAATGATATATCACCTGGGCTTATTGCAGTACCTGGCTGCATCAGGTACACAATAAATATTTTGAAAAAATAGTATTTGCAAACTATTTCTCAAATAAGGGACTGATAACCAGAATATACAAGGAACTCAAGTAGCTTACCTGCAAAAAACAACAACAACAAAATAAATCCAATTAAAAGATGAGAAAATGAGCTGAACAGACAACTCTCTAAGGAAGACATATGAGTGGACATGAAGCACATGAAAAAAATGCTCAGCATCTCTTATCATAAGGGAAATGCAAACCAAAACCACACTGAGATACCATTTAACCCCAGTCAGAATGGCTAAGAATGAAAAATAGAATGGTAAGTGCTGGGAAGGCTGAAGTGAAAAGGGAACTCTCCTATACTGATAGTGGGAATGTAAATTAGTACAGCCACTGTAGAGAACAATATGGAGGTTCCTCAAAAAAACCTACAAATAGAACTACCATATGACCCAGCAATTCCACTCCCAAAGGGTAGAAAAACATTCATTCAGAAAAACACTTGCACATCTATGTTTATTGCAGCATTAGTCACAATTGCTAAGAGATGGAATCAACCCAAATATCCAAGAACAGATGAGTAGTTTAAAAAATAGGGCACATATACATTGTGAAATACTTCTTAGCAATAAAAAATAAATGAGATCCTGACATCTGATGCAAAGTAAGTGAGTATGGAAGATTTACTGCTAGGTGAAGCAAGCCAGACTATGAGAGAGAAGCACTGTATGTCCCTGCTTGATATATACCGAATATCAGACTCTGTGGCAGAAACTGAAAGACTGGAGGATAAAAAAGCAAGGAGAGCAACTGCAGATTTTAGAGCCAGTACTGAAGGAGATGGAGAGTGGGGGAAAGGAAGGACTCAGGGAGAAAAAAAAAAAATTTAACAGCCAAATAAATGAAAAGCTATCTGCTGATGATAATGTATATGGTAATATCTTTGGACTAATATACATTGTATTTATGTGTAGAAAAACCATTTTGCATGCTATAAAGATACAGAGTGAGTAAATGTAAAAACATTTTTTTAAAAAAATTAATGAATGCTAGTACATATCAAGTGACTGAGTTCAACAGTTCTTTATCTAACATCTCCTTATTATTGTCTTGAGCTATTCCTAAAAGGCCCTTGTCTTGAACTGTACTTGGTATATACCACATTCATCTTATACTTCACTAATACCTTGATTTAGTTTTTTCATTCTTGTATCTGCTACTGCTTAAGGAAATGTGGCCTAATTATCCTTCCTGGTACATAGCACGTACTTAATAGATATTTGTCAAATGAATGAAATCTTTAAAACAATTATTAATTATAGGATATCAAATTCCCAGAAGGCAGTAACTAAGTTTCTCTAAATTAAGAATTCATGTAACTAGGTATCTAACAGTGCGGTTTGATAAAGAACTTGATTTTCCCATCTTTCAGACAGTATAACCTTACTGAACTTAACTCATTTTACTTCTCTCACCTCAGAAAGATTTTTTTGTTTATAAACCAGAGGGTGTGGGTGCTCACTAAAGGTGTGCTGGGGAGGGGGTAATGAAAAGAAGAGAGAAAAGGATGTGATCATACCACAATCCCTTCTCCTTCATTTCTCCATCCTATTAGGATTTGGGCACACATACAAATGTGCCTAGCATGTTTTTCAATTTGTCAGAGCCAGGATTCAAACCATACAGTCAGCTATGTGAGATCCAGCTTCCCTAACCAGGAGGCCATGGGATTGACTCTCTCAGAAAAGATTTTTTTTTTTAGTTTTTTTTCCTTTGCCATAAAGAGCTTTTTTTAGTTAATGAAAAGATTATTTTTGCATTTAGGTTCTAGATGAAACTAATAGTATCTAAATTATATCTGAATTATGAAACACACAAGCATTAAATATTAAAAATTGATTTAATAATATTTCCTTGTCTAGAAGCCAATGAAAAGAAAATAAACGAGAGACGGGCTGGTGCAGTAGTAAAACCCAATGCTCTGTGAGGCAAGTCCCTGGTTCCTATCTGGAGTCCTCCCTAGCACACGGTTGCCTAAGACCCAGCGCCGGCTAAAGGCCCCATGGGAGTGGGTCATGGTGTCAAGAACCTTTGGGGGTATCTCTCTCTCTCTCTCTCATTTGCTCGTGGAATAGATACATGAATACACTTTTTAAAATAAAAATAAAACAAAAGAAAAGAGAGTAGCTGTTGGCTCTGAAGCCTGTTAGCTCTGAAACTGGTGTGCTCAATTTTTATGTAAAGAAATAAAAAAAAGGAAAGAAGAAAAATAAAGAAAACACTACTTTCTGATTCATTTAACATTTTCCTTCCCTTCTCAAATTGTGTTTTAGAGCTGTATTTATATAATAAGACAAATGTCTAAAAAGTTAAACTAATAAGCAAACATCTAAAAAGTTAAACTTACATCATATAGGTATAAGATTACTTGACTTAATACACATATATGCACATTCACAAATATAAAATCTCCCTCCACAGGATATTCAAAATAATATTAAGTCAAACTGAAATCTATATTTTTATATTTCACCTGTTTTTCTAGTCCTAAAAAGGGGTAACAATAGCCTTAGTCTTTATGGAGATATGAAGTTCCCATATGGAGTGTATTGTTTTTTCACATTTCTTCGAGTAGAAAAAATACCCCATTCACCCTTGGTCGCATCTTTCAAGGACTCTTTTAACCCTGATAATCCAAAAGTTCTTCCTAGCTTCTACCTTAAATCTCTTCTATGTGAATTCACAACTACTCTCATAATTTCTCTCTACAGAAATTACAGAATAGCTCATCACTATCCTTCTATCTTATCATCCATCACCTACTATTTATTTCCTTTTCTGGCATTCTTACCAAATGAAAACATTATATCCTAGCTCTATTTCTTTGAGCCTTTTTTTTTTTATCATACTGTCACTTTTCTTTGCTGCTGAAAAGTCAGCCTAGACTACCCAGAACAAAAGATCCTTTTCTGAGCCTCAGGTTCTCTGTCACAAAATATGGCAATGATGCCTGACAACTGCCTCTCTCACAAGACAAACAGAAAAAGGGTATGTCTATACCTATAACAGAGTAAGTTTCTATGGTAAATAGTCAGAAATAATTAAACCCGCCACCAAAACTCTCCCAGAGGCAAAAGACAGAACCCAAACAGTAACATAAAGATCTATTTCTAGAAATGGACTTGAGGCTGTGGAAAAGACTTCATGCCACTCCTTTATCTCCCACCTTGAAGCGGAGCCCCACAAATGAAATCGGTGGCCTAACGTACCTCCTCTTCTCCCTGGCTTCCCCAGAGGATTCTGTCCCAGCAGTGGAGAGCACGGTGGCAGGTGTAACCCCATTGGCAGTGCTGGGTGGAGGGCGATTGGTGATCACGCAGAGTGGGGTGCTAGAAGAGATGCTGTCTGCTGTTTTCTCTGCTGTCGAGTCAGCCTGGGATTTGTAAGGAGTCCTGAAATCAAAACAGATATGAGCAGGAAGAGAATGGTCAGGGACGCTCCACCACAGAGCACTGGCAGATTAGAGATGGCTTTAGAAAATTGTCTCGTTCAGATTTTGTCAGTTTGTTTTTTAATTAAATCTTGAAACAGTATGATCACACAATTAGTCCAGCATTCTCTGCCAAGAATGAATTCCCCCCCCCCAAGATTAAAAAACAAACAAAAAAACATTAACTACGGCACAAGGCAAGATGGTGACATGTGCAAGAGTGCTTTAAATGACTCCTCAGGACCATCTGGTCTCCACACATGCACACGGAGACGGGCCTCTACGCAAGAAAAAGACACTAAAGTCACTTACAGTATGAGTCTCCACCCGTCCCTTAATTCTGGCAGTGGGGTTCTTTGTGGTAGTCCTCAGCCTAGACTTGATGACCATCTTCTTGGATTATCCAGGGACATTTGCTGAATACTCTAAAACCTCAATAGCTTACTTCTCCCTCACCTAGTTCAGTACTGCCTCTCTCCCTTTAGATGCTTAGATGTCTCTATTCATAACTGCATAAGTGAGAAGCTGAAACAAAAACCGAATAGGAGTCTATATGCAACCTTAACTACAGACTTTTCAACAGCAAGCTGTATAATTAAACTCATTTACATGAAAACAAGAGCTTTGTTTCTTAACAAAGAGTTGGGAGCAACCATTGGCTCTCCACCCAAAAAGCTATCATTTGTGATGTCACTGCTTGTTGCTGGGGTAACAGAGATCCAAAATTGATACTCACAGAGATGGGAAAAGCAATGAAAAGCATGAATGTTAAAGACCTGTTTTTTCACCTACTCAGAATTATCAGCAGAAATGTTCACACGTTGCTGAAAGCTCACTTCCAAATAATTGTATTATTAGAATAAACTTGAAATAATCAGATGATAAAAATTAAATATGGTATCTAGACACAAATGCAAAAATAGAATACTTTGAAGATGGCAATGATATCTAAAAAACACAAGCTACTTCCCCATTAGCAATTAATGACTTAGAAGGTGAAATTTTATATATATATATTTCTTTTTATTTAGTTTGCTATAAGGCACATACCCTGGGCAGAGAGCAACAGAGAGAGAAAGAGAGACAGAGGGAAAGTGAGAAATCACACCCCGGAGGATGGCCACATTGTAATCCTTTCACCTCCACTCTCTTCTTGGGATTTTGGGCATGCACGAACACACACTTGGCAAGTTTTTTTAAGTCACTGGGTCTGGGACTCGAATCATACAGTTGTCCATATGGGATCTAGCCATCTTAACTTCCAGGCTATCTGACTGGCCCTATATTCGCTTTTAATTAAAAAAAAATAATAAAGGCAAACAATTCCTCAGACTTACAAGACATATGAATGCATAGAGTAAGTACTAATAAATTAACCAGAAACACAGCTAAAAAACAAATATTTAAAATTACACTTACCAACTCCTTTACCTGAAGTTCCTTTTAGGTTAATAACATGTTTTGGTCTCTGCAATTTCTTAACACTATAGAAATGCCAGAGGCTTTATTTTATGAAATTATATAAGAGGACTTTTACAATTATTCTGCAATGTGGTATAACTTTCAAGTAGATTGTTAGGAGCAGAATGTTCCAGAGCAGGGATCAGAGGCCATACAATGGAATAGAATAAATATGGGCTCTGGCACCACTTGGGGCTACTTTCATATCACTTCTAACCTCTCTGCTGCATTCTTCATCTATAAAAAGGTGATAATTATACTTTAAAATGCAGGGTTCTTGGGAGTGGGAGGGAGGCCACTTAGGGTAAAAAACAAACAACACGCTTAATAGATACAAAAATGAAGTTATCTGCTGCTGCTGATGTATATGATGATGCCTCTGACTTGACTAATATGCACTGTATTCGTGCTGGGAAAAACCATGTTGGACACTATAAAGACGTGCAGTGATTAAATGTACATTTTTAAAAAATGTAGGGTTCTTATGATGATTAAATACAATAATGCATGTAGGACACCTAAAGTAGTATCTGAATAAGATATAAACCCAGCAGAAACAAAATTGTGACAAAATAGACCAGAGTTTGAAAGAGACAAATCCAGGATGAATTCCTGCCTTGGCTCCTCACTGACTATGTGACCTTGGGCAGATGACTCAACTGTTGGTCTCAGGTCCTTTCCCCATAAAATAAGAATAATACTTCATACTCTAGGGGTCCTTTAGGAAACTATAAACAATCTGTCAGTGCCTGAAACAGCTAGTTGCCTAAACCATGTCCACTATCACTAACTTCCTTACTAATATAGGCCCTGTATTCTGAGGGCAACAATGCATCTATGTAAAAACCCACAGATTCGAAAGTCTACCCTGCTGCTAGAGATATCCAATTCCACACAGGCAAGAAAAAGAAAAAGTACTTTTGAAAACATGCTCAGTTCAGAGACATCCCCTCTTTGCCTGCTTCCCCCATTCTTCCTTCTTCCTGCCTAGACTACAGCAATGACGGCTAGAGCTCCAGCAGTTATTCTGGACCATGAGGCACACCATAGAAGTGGAAGCCTTGACTTACGGACTGTGGAGCAGAAGGACAGAAGGAACAAGGATCCTTTAATGATGTTCTGGACTTTCTTAAGTACACACACACAAAAGCTCCTCATCTGATGTAAGCCACTATTCTATGAATTTACTGTCACGTGAACAAACCAAATCCCAACATAATTTTTGTGTAATACCCTGCCCAATGCCTGTCATATAATAGGTTCAACAAACGGTAGCTGTAATTGTTTTTCCCTAGTTTCAGATCTTAATAGTTAATCAAATAACTAGTCTGTTTCGCTGGGAAAAACCATGTTGGACACTATAAAGACGTGCAGTGATTAAATGTACATTTTTTAAAAATGTAGGGTTCTTATGATGATTAAATACAATAATGCATGTAGGACACCTAAAGTAGTATCTGAATAAGATATAAACCCAGCAGAAACAAAATTGTGACAAAATAGACCAGAGTTTGAAAGAGACAAATCCAGGATGAATTCCTGCCTTGGCTCCTCACTGACTATGTGACCTTGGGCAGATGACTCAACTGTTGGTCTCAGGTCCTTTCCCCATAAAATAAGAATAATACTTCATACTCTAGGGGTCCTTTAGGAAACTATAAACAATCTGTCAGTGCCTGAAACAGCTAGTTGCCTAAACCATGTCCACTATCACTAACTTCCTTACTAATATAGGCCCTGTATTCTGAGGGCAACAATGCATCTATGTAAAAACCCACAGATTCGAAAGTCTACCCTGCTGCTAGAGATATCCAATTCCACACAGGCAAGAAAAAGAAAAAGTACTTTTGAAAACATGCTCAGTTCAGAGACATCCCCTCTTTGCCTGCTTCCCCCATTCTTCCTTCTTCCTGCCTAGACTACAGCAATGACGGCTAGAGCTCCAGCAGTTATTCTGGACCATGAGGCACACCATAGAAGTGGAAGCCTTGACTTACGGACTGTGGAGCAGAAGGACAGAAGGAACAAGGATCCTTTAATGATGTTCTGGACTTTCTTAAGTACACACACACAAAAGCTCCTCATCTGATGTAAGCCACTATTCTATGAATTTACTGTCACGTGAACAAACCAAATCCCAACATAATTTTTGTGTAATACCCTGCCCAATGCCTGTCATATAATAGGTTCAACAAACGGTAGCTGTAATTGTTTTTCCCTAGTTTCAGATCTTAATAGTTAATCAAATAACTAGTCTGTTTCAGTTTCATCTACGGTGATAATAATTACCATGTCCACGCAACTGGATTATTGTGGCACCTACTCTATTTCTACATTACTACACAGTATTACTATTCTTAATCTATATAAACCTGTCCTGCTGGCCAAGTTAATGAACACCACCGATTTTAGAGAAAGAGATGCAATAAGCTGACAAATATCACTTGCGCACCACCATCACAGGTGTTACTGCAGTACCACTATCATTATGCATATTTTCTCATTTTCTTTGTGTCAGCTGTAGAAATAAGACACCCCCACCAAAAAAAAAGACCCTTCGCTATACCCGAAAGTGAAAAGGTCTCTGGCCACTCATAAAGTATTTAAAAACACAGTTAAAACCATAGCTAAGGTCCTGCTGCACTTTCACAACTGACATTGCCCATGCAACCCCTGATATGAACTAGAAATCGAGGAGATGCTACTCTCAGAACAGTTTGGACAAACATAAATCTTTCCCCACAGTGCTTCTAGCAAACCACTCTCATTGGCTGGGAATCTTCAAAAGGCTACAGGAGGCTTTTGGAACATAAGTTAGCTTTCCTTCTGATTTGAATTTTTACGCCATCTTCCAAAAAAAGACCAAATACAAGAGATTCCTACCCTCATTGCTAGAAAATTTATATAAGTGAAATATCAGGATATTTATAGTATTTAATTTAACTCAATAGTATAAACCTTAAACTGTAATCATAACTGGTAAGGTCGTTGAAAGATGAAAGCAGTCATATTAAGTTGATGCCCAAACACCAAGTACAATGATACACACCCTGTGATTATTCAGTAAGGAACTGTTAGCTGGCTAATCAATGTTAAAGCAAAGCCATCTTCATTAAACCACGAACATTTCACAGGAATTCAAACTTCTTTCTATAGTGACAAAGTCTCTGGTTCAAACTTCATATGTGTTTCCAGAGGCATTAATTTCAACTCAAATGGCTCCAAGAAGCCTTACCTGCCATGATGTACAGATGCAGTAGTGTTTGTACTGACTGGTGCAGGGCAAGAAGAGGCAGGTTGCCACTGGCTGCCCCGAGAGGTAGATGAACCAATGGTAATGGGTGAGGTAGCAGGAGATGAATTGCGATTGGCTGAAATGTAGGGACTTGTGGGGTCACTACTTCTACCAAATGAAGCACTGCAAAACAGCACATAGTCACTTTCTTCAGGACATGCTGCTCACCACCATTTCCCAGCACCACCTGCCCCCCCAGATTGTGCACTTAAGAAGAATGTAGACCAAAGAGAGGGTATGACAACTGGGAAGTGGAGTGATCAACTCCAGCTAGAGCTGGGTCACTGCAGCAAGCAGGCAATCATCCAAAAGAGTGACAGAACTGCCATTCTTTGAAAGATGATCTTTTGGTCAATCATCCAAAAGAGAGAAGAACTGTGAAGGTGGAGGAGAGATGATATTTAACCAGGAAAAGCAGGAAAGCAGAATATATGACAAGAGAAGAGGCTAGGAAAAAGAAATAATAGAAAACGAGATAATTTTATTAGAAAAAATAATTCCCAACAAACCCAAGCCAAAAACAAAAACAAAAAAAAAAATCATGCAACCCCAAATGTCTACCTGATATAGAAGTAGTACTGCAAGAGCTGAAGTAAGACCAGAGAACTTGGAGAGATTTGGGAGCAGAGATTTAAAATTAAAAAGTGGAGAAAAGTAAAGAAGCTGTATGAAAAAATAACTTTGCGAAACATGATCATTTAGCCTAAGTGAAAATGCCTTTGGGAGTATTTAAATGGATTTAAATATACAAGTCTATAAAGTAAAGGGAAGTATATGGGAAGTAAAAGGCAACTTTTCTTTGCTTCAATTGAGGACATGTAAGAATACCTCAATTATGGTAAATATTACTTGGGTTAGGATTTAATATAATGGTACTGACTATTATAGTCATGGCTATAATAGTAATGAGAAACTTGAGTGATTAAAAAAAAGCTATGAAGCTTTCTTCTTTAAAAAAGATGTGTTTTACTAGGCCATATGAACAGAATTCCAGATTAGAGACAAGAGATGAACTGGAAAATAGAAAGCATTCCAAGGTTTGACATAGCTGGGGAAATGACAAATTTCTATTCATTCATTCTTTTTTAAATGGTGATGAAATATAATTTTTCCTTCTTGAAAAGATCATAAGATAGAATTTTACAAAATCAAAAAGTGCTCCAGGGTTATAGGTGAAGAAGAGCTTTGGAAATCCAAGGTATGAAGCAAGTTTTAGATCTTCTCTCAAAAAAGCACTCACATAACGAAGCATGCTTTTCACCTTAAACAAAGGCTGCCTCTTGCTCCCCTGTTCACCGTAACTTGGTCAAACTCTTACCTATCAAACAAAATGCCTTCAACCTGTTGGCTGATGGTCTGGATCACAAAAAAATCAACAACCTTACCAAAAATAACTCCATGCCTAGAAAATACTTGGCAGCTCTTTCTCCTTCCTAGCACTAGAACATTATTTCCTTAGAAAACTTTTCTTGAGCTTAGAGTCAACCATAGGAAAATTACATAGCTAGGCAGACTAAGGCCCTGGCCTTTAAGCAAATTAGTGATAGCCTCAGAAAGCCAAAAATTCCTGCTTAGTGTAATGAAGAGTAAGTGAGATCACTGGACTCTACCTGTACACTATGAAAGTTGAGCCCTTTCTTGTAGGCTGTATCTCTGGAACTGAAAAAGGCAACAGTGGCTGTTCCTGCAATTTCCCATGTTCCAACACTAGCTGACAAATCTTCCTGGCAAGCGGAAATAAGTTTTGATCTCAAACTGCTAACGTGTTCATATAGTCTGTGGTCAGAGCTTGTTTCTGTGGTAACCTGCCAATTATCTATAAATCCCAATGATGAAGACTATGGGTGAAGGGATAGGTGGAGGGATTAAATGAGGTAAACAAAGAATTCAAAGTAAGCAGTGAAAAACAGATTCTTCCACATCAGCAGCATAGTTCAAATTAAAATATTAATTAAGAATATATCTTGTAGCTTAATGGCTCTGGCAAAGTGCTTTGCTTGCTGGCTAGTATGTGGCAAAGAAAAAAACTGCAGAAAGAGAATACAGATGAGAAAAGAGGAAGGAAACCCATGTACCTTCTCTGCACCAAACTTGCGAGTTTCACATCTTGATGAATCTGAGGGCCATTAAAGTCATAAAAAAAACAACTCAAGTCCCTAAATTAACAGGCTTCAATATGAAACTTCTTTAATGCAATAGAAAACTGTCCCCATTTCCCACCCCTCACCACCCTACTGTGTCCCTCCCTTCCTCCCCCCAAAAGTGGAACTTGAGATGAGATCTACTCTAGTTTTATAAAACTGAGAGCCAGCTACTGGACAAAGGTGATTTAAATTCAGTCTTGCCCAGAGATTACTAAAAGTCATTGATTGAAGATTTTCACAGGACTGAGTGGATGGAGTTAGAGGTCAGATCTGTGGTAAGAATTTGGAATTAGCTTACTTTCATTCAGTTATTAAGAGAATAAATTAATTTAAAATTAGTCAAGATGTTAATCCCAAGAAATCTAAAAGTCATTAATTTTTTTATTCATTTTTGTGCTGCTAACTGGATTAAAAAACGCATGCGATTATCACCCATATCCCCATGGCCAGAGTGATAGAACATCATCTCCCAGCCCTTTGGTCTGGTACCTTTTCAAGTAGGTAGATACATAGGTGGAAGGAGCAATTGTCTGTGGGGTTTCATTTCCCTTGGCCTCATCCCTCCACAGCTGCCGGGTATAGGAGCCACTCCTCACTAGATTAACAGCTGATTCTCTGTAGAGGCATATAAAACAAAACAAAACAAAACAAAACACTGACTCCTACCACCCATTTTTGTCCAGGATAAATACAATCCAGAGAGAGAAGAGCCAGACAGGCAAATTGTAAGATGACTAAAGAAATAGACAAACTTTCCAAATGATTCTTTATTTTAAATACCTGTTTTCTGTACAGAGAAAAGATGAGTAAGTATTACTGTCTGCTTTCTTTTATAAACTTGAAAGTCAACTAATTTGAATAGGTATCACATTCCTCATGTGAAAGGTCCCTAATCCTTTTCCAAAGAGAAGTCACCCTTGTTTCTTATTTTAAAAGTTCCTGTGCAGCCAGCCCATAGCCTCGTGGTTAAGGTAGCTGAATCCCACATGGATAACCACACAGTTTGAATCCTGGAAAACACTTCAGGTGCATGTGTGTGGACCCCAAAATCCTGAAAGATGGGAGAAATGGAGGAAAAGGAATTATGCTGCAGCATGCCTCATGGTGGGGAGTGCTTTCTCATCACCCCTCTTCTCTGTCTCCAGCAAATGCAGGCCGGCTCCCTCTGGTTAATTCAAAAAAGAAAAGAAAAAAGAAAGTGCCTTGAAGTCCAGGTGCTATGGAACAGCAATAATGCAAGTACTCTGGCAAGGCTGGAAGCCATATGGCAACCACAGGCTTGGAGCCTTAGGTTGGCCTGAAAATCTGCCAGAAGCGCACATGTGTGCCCAAGATCTTGAGGAGCTTGATGACTACTCTTTCTTAGGGTGCATCTCTCTCTCTCATCCTTTGTCATATGTGTGCGTGAGTTGTGTACGTTAAAAAATAAATAAAAAGTACCTTGTAATCGGTCCTCAATAGCAGATTGCTTTTAAGTCAGGCAGAGCATGGGAGAGGGGAGGAAAAAGAAATCTATCTCCAGGAAAAGAGGTTACTACAGAGGGGGAAAAGGAAGAAGGGCTCACTGGAAGCCCATTTAGCATTATAAAGGAAAAGACATCTGGGAAAGGACTGTACTAGGATTCTGATCCATAGTTGATAACTAAGGGCCTTTGCTGCAGAAGTTATGGGTCTCCATGCTTCACAAGGTTCTCTAGAGTAGTCCTTCTCAAACTTCCATGTATTTGGATCGCCTAGTGAATTTTGTTAAAATACACACTCCAATTCAGCAATCTGGGGTGGGGCTGTATTTATTCCCCAATTCCAACATGCTTCTAAGTAGTGCCAATACTGGTGACTGGAGGACCATGCAATGGGAAAAAAGGTTCTAGATCAGGTTCTACCCTGAGTTGTAGCAATATTTCAAAATCCCTATATTCTTTTTCATTGATGAGGAAGACTTTAAATTTTATCAGTGTACAAATCAGAAGTCAGTCAATTCAATGAAATAACAATATTTACAGTGTTTACCATGTGGCAGGCACTATGCTAGGCATTAGGGGTCCCTGAGAAATCAGACATAGACTCTGCCTCTACAGAGACTGCTGGTGGACTAAACTAATTCACACTGGGAAGTGTCAGGGAAGGTGATTCCCAAAGACAGCCAACGTCTATGCTAGAGTTAGAATCTGAAGGGTAAAGAATTGGCAAAGCAAGGGAGTAGGGGCTGGGAAGTGTTCTAAGTAGAAAGAACTGACAATTCATCAGGTGCTGAGGCACCTGAATAGGAGTAATGACCAGGAGATCACTATGCCTAGCTTAGCCAAAGTGGACCAGTATGAGGATTACCTGTTCTCCTTTTCTTCAATGTCATTTGTGCTGCTGAGCCTCCGGGGTGCTAGTGAACTAAAATAGCTTTTGTTTTCTCTCTCCTGTAAAATAAAAACAAGTAAAGCACAGGGGAGGTACAATACTAACAAAGTGCAGAACATTCTGGGTAAACAAGTGGAACTTACATACCTATACAGTCTTATTTCTGGACTCAACACCAATTCCACTATTTTTAGTAAGTGAAAAGGCATACAGATTTATTTAACATACACATGAGCACATGGAAACCACATAGTAAGACTTAAAGGCCCATTAATGCCAATTCCATTTTGAGTGGAGTGGTATTTCAAAAGGTTAGTTTACAAAAGTGTATTCCTAACTTTCTCACAATTAAGACTAATATATAGGGGGGGACCAGCAGTTAGTGTAATGGCTATGTTGCTGGACTCCCATGTAGTTGACCGCAGTTTGAGTTCCGGACCCGGTGGCTTAAACTCACGCCAGGCTCATGTGTGTGCGTGCCCAAGATCCTGAGCGAAGAATGGAGGAGAAGGGCATGGGGCAGGGCCATCCCACCTGGGGGTGATTTCTCAGTATCTATCTCTCTGTCTTTCTGGCGAGCGCACGTGCCCTATAACAAAAACCACTCCAAAAAAAAAAAAAAAAAAAAGAAGACTAATATATAGGGAAATAACTCATGGGGAAAGTTAAGGTCAAAGAAAGAAAACAGCTACACAAAGCAGCAGCCATGGCAAGAGATGGGGGCCTTTGGAAAGGCACAACAGAAAGGGCCACTCTGAAGCTCCTGACGCAATAAGCCTTCTTTAGCCTCCAACATGTCAGCTCAAAATGCAGCTTCCTCAGTTACATGGACAACAAATATGCAGAGCCAATCCACCCAAAATGCCTCACCCCTCTGAGCTATTTCCAGAAATGTGGTATAGAGCAAGAGGACTAAGATTAAAAGGAAGACCTGACCTGAGAGAAGAGCACAGAGTTAGCCCTAGAAAATCTAGTATCAGAAGTAAAGAAAACAAAAATGTACTCTTCTTGGGTAAATACATACATGAACTGTTTGTAAAGTTGGCCTGATTGTAATTCTGTTAATGAAAAATGATTAAGTTAATTTTTTTTTTTTTCTCCTGGGGCCAGCCAGCAGTTGGCATAGCGTTTAAAGGTAATGGACTCCCACATGGCTGACCACAGTTCAAGTCCCAGACCTGATGGCTTGAAAATTAAGTCAGGTACACATGCGTGCATATCCAAAATCCCAGGAGGAGAATGGAGGAGAAAGGACTGTGGCATGGCCACCCCCATGGGGAGGGGGGGAAGTAATTTCTCACTTTCCTTCTCATTGTTTCTGGTGAGTACACAAGCCCTATGATAGAAACTTTAAAAAAAAAAAAAAGTCTCTTAAGTGCTAATTTGCTTGAGCTTCACTAGGATTCAAAACTCGGCAGCTAGGGAACTATGCTTCTAAATATAAAAAGAATAGGTTGCTGGTATTGGTTCAAAAGAACCTTTTAGTTCAAATCCAAGTTTTCATGTGTCTGATCCACTGTTTTGCTCTGGATGAGAACAAAGAACATAAGGCAAGCCAACAAGAAAGGCTGTTCTTGAAACTTTTTTCTTTCTTGGCCAATCAAATAACAGCAAGCAAATAGCTGCTTTGATTAAACTATCAATGTGCCTGCCTCCCTTTGTTGTACTTCCAGAATCAATTAGGTACCAGAAAATATTCTCATTTGTTCCTGAGATTGAGACTGCATGGAAGAAAACTGCCTTGGAAGTCCCCCAGACCCTGCCAAAACTGCACCTTATCTTTGTTGTCCAAGAGAGCAGAAATCCGGGGGCTTGACGAGGAGCGGTAGATGGAAGAGCCTCGGTCCCGTGGAGCGTCCCTGGAATTAGCCACCTCACTTAGCATGTTGTGGCTGCCAGTTTTTCTGAGACCCAATCTCCATGAAGAAGGAGATTCATCTTTGGGCTCTTCCGGCTTATTAAAAAGGCTGGAGGAGAACTAGGAGGGAAGAAGTACATCAAAGAAAAGAAAAAGAAAGGCCCTGATGAGACTTTTCGAGCGTATTTGCTTTTTCCACACTTACTAAGTCCAGTGCGGCAACATAAGGCAGCGCGAGAGCAGCTATGCGGCAGGCTTGCTGCCAGCGTTTCCTTCCTCACCTGGCAGATGCCTGTCACCTCCGAGGCTCTCTTTCTCACTGAGCCAGAAGTAGCCTCAGATCTTAACACGATGCTCCTACCTGACAGAGTGGCTCTGAGAGATGAACACCATTTTCTTTCCCTTTGCAATCAGTACTGACCTACAGCAGCAGGACACTGCGTTCTAGTCATGCATCCCTTCACTCACTGTGACTGAACAGACTCACTTCTCTAGGTCTCAACACGCTCATCTGCAAAATGGTGATAGTGAGCTTAACTTCTCCTCATAATATGTGAAAAACAGAAAAACAAAATGAGCGAATGTATAAATATGTTTAAGGTAATAAGCTAATTTAAGATAATACTAGTAAAAATACTAGTGGCCAGTCCACTCAAGTTCTAATCGCTAGTTTCAAGAAAATAACTTATTTGATATAGGGCAGCAGTTCTAAGAGTTTTAGAACTCACTGACAAGCAAAATTTAAAAAGAAAAAAATCTGAGGTCAATTTTAAAGAATTTTACCCACCATGTCCTTCCTCAGTTACATGGACAACAAATATGCAGAGCCAATCCACCCAAAATGCCTCACCCCTCTGAGCTATTTCCAGAAATGTGGTATAGAGCAAGAGGACTAAGATTAAAAGGAAGACCTGACCTGAGAGAAGAGCACAGAGTTAGCCCTAGAAAATCTAGTATCAGAAGTAAAGAAAACAAAAATGTACTCTTCTTGGGTAAATACATACATGAACTGTTTGTAAAGTTGGCCTGATTGTAATTCTGTTAATGAAAAATGATTAAGTTAATTTTTTTTTTTTTTCTCCTGGGGCCAGCCAGCAGTTGGCATAGCGTTTAAAGGTAATGGACTCCCACATGGCTGACCACAGTTCAAGTCCCAGACCTGATGGCTTGAAAATTAAGTCAGGTACACATGCGTGCATATCCAAAATCCCAGGAGGAGAATGGAGGAGAAAGGACTGTGGCATGGCCACCCCCATGGGGAGGGGGGGAAGTAATTTCTCACTTTCCTTCTCATTGTTTCTGGTGAGTACACAAGCCCTATGATAGAAACTTTAAAAAAAAAAAAAGTCTCTTAAGTGCTAATTTGCTTGAGCTTCACTAGGATTCAAAACTCGGCAGCTAGGGAACTATGCTTCTAAATATAAAAAGAATAGGTTGCTGGTATTGGTTCAAAAGAACCTTTTAGTTCAAATCCAAGTTTTCATGTGTCTGATCCACTGTTTTGCTCTGGATGAGAACAAAGAACATAAGGCAAGCCAACAAGAAAGGCTGTTCTTGAAACTTTTTTCTTTCTTGGCCAATCAAATAACAGCAAGCAAATAGCTGCTTTGATTAAACTATCAATGTGCCTGCCTCCCTTTGTTGTACTTCCAGAATCAATTAGGTACCAGAAAATATTCTCATTTGTTCCTGAGATTGAGACTGCATGGAAGAAAACTGCCTTGGAAGTCCCCCAGACCCTGCCAAAACTGCACCTTATCTTTGTTGTCCAAGAGAGCAGAAATCCGGGGGCTTGACGAGGAGCGGTAGATGGAAGAGCCTCGGTCCCGTGGAGCGTCCCTGGAATTAGCCACCTCACTTAGCATGTTGTGGCTGCCAGTTTTTCTGAGACCCAATCTCCATGAAGAAGGAGATTCATCTTTGGGCTCTTCCGGCTTATTAAAAAGGCTGGAGGAGAACTAGGAGGGAAGAAGTACATCAAAGAAAAGAAAAAGAAAGGCCCTGATGAGACTTTTCGAGCGTATTTGCTTTTTCCACACTTACTAAGTCCAGTGCGGCAACATAAGGCAGCGCGAGAGCAGCTATGCGGCAGGCTTGCTGCCAGCGTTTCCTTCCTCACCTGGCAGATGCCTGTCACCTCCGAGGCTCTCTTTCTCACTGAGCCAGAAGTAGCCTCAGATCTTAACACGATGCTCCTACCTGACAGAGTGGCTCTGAGAGATGAACACCATTTTCTTTCCCTTTGCAATCAGTACTGACCTACAGCAGCAGGACACTGCGTTCTAGTCATGCATCCCTTCACTCACTGTGACTGAACAGACTCACTTCTCTAGGTCTCAACACGCTCATCTGCAAAATGGTGATAGTGAGCTTAACTTCTCCTCATAATATGTGAAAAACAGAAAAACAAAATGAGCGAATGTATAAATATGTTTAAGGTAATAAGCTAATTTAAGATAATACTAGTAAAAATACTAGTGGCCAGTCCACTCAAGTTCTAATCGCTAGTTTCAAGAAAATAACTTATTTGATATAGGGCAGCAGTTCTAAGAGTTTTAGAACTCACTGACAAGCAAAATTTAAAAAGAAAAAAATCTGAGGTCAATTTTAAAGAATTTTACCCACCATGTCATCTTTATAAGCTATCCTGATCCTATGAAAAAAAATAGCTTACCCGCCATTGTTTTAGCAAAGTGGAATAAGTACATGTGTGCATTCTAAATTTAAACCTTTTTCTCTTAAAAAAGTAAGAAGTCTGTCTTGTCACACCTAGAAGCAGTAGAAGTATATGAGGAAAAATGAAATGACTGGATAAGGACTATATTCTGTTTGAAACTTCTTTAACGACTTATAATGATGCTTCTGGAAATAAGCCAGGTCTTTGTTCCCTCGTTTCTATAAGCCTATCTTTCTAATTCATGAAGTATTAAGACTGATAAATTAAAACCAGAGCTTTTTCAACACCTTTGTACTAAAGAATGCCCGTCAATTCTTAACTCCAAAACTATTAGGTTGTTGGGAAAAATCATGATGTATTTTTCTATGTTTTCCTATGCAAAAATGCATCATGAGCTTCCCAACAACCCAATAATTACATACTCTGTAGAGCTGGGTCATTATTCTATTCTTTTTCACAGACTGGAAGTCTACAGCTTCTCAGAAAACACAAAGATGCTGAAGGAGGAACCTCTGGTATTTCAACAAATTCTTTCTACCTCTATACTCTACCCATCAGAAATGAAAACTTTACTCATGAAAGTAAGGTTTTAAAGAAGTAGAAAAGGAAAATAGCTATTAAAGCAATCCATGCTCAATGGAAGTTACCTTCCAAGTGCAGTTCAAATTTTAAATATACTTGTCTTAATTTCAGATACAAAGAAAATAGGCAAAGACAAAATTTCTTTGGTCCCAGATTATGCTATCCTGTGTTAACACGTTGTAGCCAAATTTGTCTGGTGATGGTTTTATAGGTATTTTTGGAACGTGTGGGATTATATTTGGAGACAAGGCCTGTGAGGAGGGGATGAAGGTTAAATAAAGTCAAAGGGTAGGGTCCTAATCCAATAAGGCTGCTGCCCTTATAAGAAAAGGAAGAGATATCAGAGCACTCTCTCTGCACCAAGTTAGGACACAGTGGGAAGATGGTCATCTTTAGCTAAGAAGAGAACCCCTCCAAAGGAACTAAATCAGACAGTACCTTGCTATGGGACTTCCAAGGCTCCAGAACTGTGCAAAATACATTTGTTATTTAAGTCATCTAATATGCAGCTTTTTTTTTTTCCCCCCACGGGAGCAGACTAAGACAATCAAGTATGTAACTTTAAGGCCTTTCTAAGTGAGTGCTATTGCAGTAGGGTAAAATATAATAGCCAAATTAATTCCAAAGTACTCACTCTCCTAGCAGAAGAGGCAGAGAAGGTATTCTGAGCTGGTGGTGGTATCTGCTCCGTGATACTAATTTTATTTTCAGAGCTGGAATGGTTGACAATGGCTTCTGGCTTTTTATCTGTTATTTAAGACAAGAGAAGCAACAAGTCCAAGTGTGAAAAATCTTAACTCTGTGTATGTGGCCTTTTCTATTAACACAAAACGTTTGCCCACCATCAAAACAGATTATCAGGGCCATGAATGCTTAGATTCAAACTAAAAGAAATCTCCAGCAACTGTCAGCAGAAGAAAATAAACTTGGTGGATTCCTGTGTTGGTAAGCTCCAACTCCAATTTCCAGATGAAAAATGAAAACTGCCTCCACATTATTAGTTTATCACACACAAAATTCATTAGTATGCATTTATTAAAAATCAATTCTGTTTTGGGGAGATGGGTAGAAAAAACAGGAAAACTGTAAAACAGACCTTGTTTTATAGGTAATTACAATGAAGAGGAAGAGATAAGATGCATACGAGACCAGAAGATGGTGTAATGGCTATGTCACTGGATTCCCATGTAGTCGACCACGGTTTGAGTCCTGGACCCAGTGGCTTAAACTCACTCTAGGCATGTGTGTGCGCATGCCCAAGATCCCGAGAAGAGAACGGACAAGAAGGGATTGCGGCGCAGCCATCCCCCCTGGGGGTGGGGGGGTGATTTCTTACTTTCTGTCTCTTTGTCTCTCTCTGTATTTCTGGTAAGTGCATGCACCCTATAGCAAAAACTTCTCCAAAAAAGAAAGAAAGAAAGAAAGAAAGAAAGAAAGAAAGAAAGAAAGAAAGAAAGAAAGAAAGAAAGAAAGAAAAAAGAATGATGATGATGATGATAACAATGCAAGTGCATATGCAATTTAGGTGTTAGATTAGTTGACTGACACCAACAAGTGCTGGGGGAGTTCAGAGAAGAGGCGAATGCCCTCAGGGAGGAAACAATGAGGAAAGCTGCAGAATAAGCCTGAATTCTCCAGACAAACAGAACCACGGGGGAAACTGGAAGACTAAAGACTGACTGTATGGTGGAGGAGAAAGAAAGTCATGCCCGGAAATCAAAGTACAGACATCTGTTGGTCAGTGAAGGGGTTAGACTAATTTAAATAATGGGTATCTTGGGGTTATGACAGAAATAAAAATAGAAAGTATTCTAGGGGATGTTGCACATAACCGAACCCACATAACATAAACAGGAGTGGGCCGTCTCAGCAGGGTCCTTACCAGAAACCTTGTCCGTGGCTATGAACTAAACAGCACAACACCTACACCTAGTAGGTATGGTTATCGTCTATGCACTCTGGAGAAAGATCCCTCCAGGTCAACCCACCCATGAATTCTGTGATAATTTTAAGCCACATCCTAACTGTGTGTCACTGGGGAAGTTACTTATTATATTTGAACCTCTACTTTTTCATTGATTAATCAGAGATCTTAATTCTCGCCTCATGAGAATTGTTATAAAGATGATAGATACTATTTTTAAATTGGATAGATCAATGTTTGGCCATAAAAGTCCCCTGTGTTATTATTACTATAGTTACTATGAATATTCAAGGCATTCTTTAAACACTATGTGAATATCTCTAGCCCTAAGAAATCCACCTTGTTAGCAAAATGTGACTGTAACAGTCATAGCTCCCAGTGAATCATGACTTCCTGAATTCACTCTGGAACAGTGCCTTCTCACACTGACTCTGATTGCCACGTGACTTGTTATGGCCACTAGAACATTAGCAAGTATGACACATGCAGAGGCTTGGAAAGTGCTTATCCACTGTGCCTTCCTTCTCTGACTGCTTCTGGAATCTAGAAGCAGGAGTTAGCCCATGTGATGATAAGAGATGCATGGCTGGGTGGGCTCATGGCACAGTGATTAAGATAGCTGGATCCCGTATGGTTCTGGGATGGAGAAATGGAGAAGAGATTGTAGTGTGATCATACCCCACCATGGGATGCTTTCTCTTTCTTGCATGTGCACACACACGTGAGTGCATGTGCCCTTTGGCAATTAAAAAAGAAAGAGAGAGACCCACTTGCCCTAAACATCCTGGCCAATCACCAGAAAGGTGGGTATTGCTAGCTACGACTAGCCATCCCCTAGCTGACTTATCATCTGACTGTAAAAACAAGAGTGGACCCCAGAATTACCAAAGGGAGAAATGGCTGTCCCAGTTGAGTCCTTCCCAAACTGCCAACTTATAAAACTAGTTGTCTTAAACCACTAAGTTCTGGGATGGCTTGTTATGCAGCAATAGGAAACTGATTCACCAAACGTTTAAGTCAAATAAAAGAAAGAAAAAACAGAACTCTAAGTCAAACTGTTCACATGCTCCTCAAAATATAATTAATATTGTTTTGTTTTTACTATAGGGTGTGTACAGGAGTCGGAAGAGGGAGGAATCCTTTATATCCAAGGCTTCCTGAAAGAAGGAGGTCTGAGCTGGGATTTGAGGCACGAATGAAATGTCGGTCAGCAGAGAGTTGCCGAAATAAGGAGACACTTGCTGGAACATCTGCTTCTGCCCACACCAGGTGACTGAACTCTCTTGAGGACTGCTAGTGACTTCCTAACTGCTGCATCACCCGTGAACTCGCCACTGCCAGGGCTTCTCCGGTGTGGAAAGACACATCCTGGCTTTGCTTGGCCTCTCTGATCAGACCTTCTCTGCCTGCTTCACTGATTCTTCTTCACTTCCTGAACACAGTATGCCCCGGGACTCTTTTTTAATACCTCTTTTTTCTACATTCTCTCTTTTGGGGATCTCATCTTTTCCCACAGTTTTACCTTTCACTTCTTAGGCAGATCATTTCCACTGGGTCCCTGCTACTCAGAGGAGCCCCAGATCAAAGTCAGAATGTCAGAGATGCCACATGCCAGCCACGAAACCAAATTCACCTAACCTCCTACAGTATCAATTTCTTATTCTAAAAAGTGGCGATAATAACATATACCTCAGAGTATGATAGTGAAGATTAAATAAAAACGTTTAAGTACTTTGCAAAGCAAAAGGCACAGTATAAATATAAAGCTTTATTATAATTCCCTGAACTAGATATAATCTTTACTACTAGTGAATACCATTGACTGCATTTATACCTCTCATATGACAAGTATTTTATTCATGTAATGCCTTTCTATTCCCCTACTGGATATACTCAACAAAAAACATTTAATGAATGTGAATGCCTGTCATGTGCCAGGCATTGTGCTGAGACCTGGGAATACAACGACAGACTCTGAGTTCCCAGCCAAAATGATGAGCACTACAGCAGAGATAAGTATGCAGTGCTAGAGGCACACAGACAAGGGAGCAATTAGCATGGCGTGGGCGAACAGTGAAGTGGTCTGTTCCTGTTCAGCTTCCCGTACCAGAAAAGGCTAAAGAAAGATGTTTTCAGTCTATTAGATCCTATACCTTCAAACAGAAATCACTCAACACGTATTTGATCATTTGATGGCCTGAAATGAATTCTAAGGTACAAATAAACACTTGAGGGCAGGAAAGCTCAGGGATAGGAGGAAATTCAGCAGTCCCATTTGGCTAGACTATGTCCTTAAATATCTCTGTATAGCATTGGAAAGACCAGCTAGAGCTGGCTGGTGAGAGATCTTGATGGAAGGCCACAAGGATTGGGATTCACCCTGCAGACAAAGTCAGAGCAAGTGAGGTATTCACAGAAGGCTTCTGAACAGAGACGTAGCATGAGCAAAAAGGTGCGATGGGTGTTTTACTCCAACAGCAAAGTGAACACAGCAAATCATGAAGCAGGCAGCTTGCTCCCATTGTTGTTAGAAGCTAAGAAAAGTGATCTAGCATAGAGCAAGCCCAGATATTGATTCTGGATAATACATAAACCTAGAACATATAAGTACTCAATAAATATCACAAATATCAAAAAGATGTACATTTATAAATGGTGATAGGTCCTACAATAACATTTTCAGAGTAAGTTATGCCTGATCAACAACACAAATTCAAGTCTGAATGAATAAAAGTTCATCTATACTGCAAACTTAGCTGGTGCCCATCTTTTTTATAGAACTGATGGTCTCTAACTTCCTTTGGTGATGTTCGACAAGTCTCAGAGATTGTGACATGAAGAAGGGCAGTATTCTCCCATAACTGAGAGAAACTGTCAGCAAAGCCAGACCTTATCAAGAGCTGGGGCCCAGACAACAGAGCTAATGTCTTCATTATGGGGAGGCTGACTATGGCTGAGTGCAGGGGAAACACAGACTCCATTATAAACTTAATGTGTGACCCTTTCCCTTCTAACTTGGCCTTCTAGCTGGAAACATTTCAATTTATCATGGATTCGAATTTGGAGGGATAATAGCCAGTGGTTGTGGGGCATATATACTATAAAATCTTAGTTTATCATTAACTTCCAATTTCTATGAGAATGACTCTGTTGTAGTTGACCTCTATTCAGTAAAACCCAGTCTCTTTTTTCTCAGTGTCTGTCCATAAATAAAAACCTGTGGGCTATTTTATAACTTGTTAGTCTCACTAGGTTTAGCACCTCACTTTAACTATTAGGGTTCCTATTCTATCGAATAATAAACTTAAGAAGCACCAAATAATGTATTTATTATCAATAAGGTTCATAAAGGTAAATACAATTTTTGTCCTTTCCTCAATTCCCCACTTAGTAATTTAAGGGGCTGCATATATGAAAAAAAATACATATGTAATATATCATATTATATTACATATATATATATATACACACACACACACATATATATATATATTTAGACAGAGAGAGAGAGAGAGAGATTAGGAATCTGTTTAGGGAAATCAGACAAATCTGAGAATTAAATACAATTTTTACTAATAGGTTAAGTGCTCGCTTCAGCAGCACATATACTAAAATTGGAACTAATAGGTTAAAAATATTTGACTGAAAATGTCTCTGCATGATCCTACTTTCTCTGCCTCTTTTTGAAATCTCATCTCTATGCCACCTACCAACCCAAGGTCAGGGCAGTTGGCTCCCGCAAACAAAAATTCTTTGTGCGCCTTATCATATAGCTATACAGGAACTAGTGGATTTAGTCGAACAGAGCTTGCAGCTCATACGACCAAGTTGTCACTAGCAATTTGATATTTTGTCCTTGAAAACCAAACTTGGAGCTTTTTCTGGAGCCGTGGAGGCCTGGGTAGCTCTCTGACAGCAGTTACCGCCCCATACCCTGGAGAGAAAGGATCTTGGCCATGGACATCTTCGCATTCATTACCTGTCTCCTTCTCAGTTTCTGACTCAGAAGCTTCATCTTCACCTTCTTCCTCCTCGGAGCTAGAGCTGCTGGACTCTTTGTTTTCTTCCTCCATTTCTTGAGACTTGGGTGTCTCCTCCTCATACAACATCTTCTCTTTGCTAAATTAAAGACAACAATTTGAGAGTAATTTAGAAGTAACAAATCACTAAGTTCACTGACCAGTGTAATAAAGAGAAAAAGTCTATAAACTTATGGGTGGATGCACTAACAGAAACCATATTTGAATCCTTCTTTACATCTCTATTTCTTGGTTTTTCCAAACTAGAGTTTAGCATTTGACTTTAGAGCATGGCTTGAGGCAATCTGGCCTGTTCAACACAGGAAAAAGAAAAGCTGTAAATTTTGATAATGATGGAGCAAATAAAGATTTTTAAAAAACCATTTAACAAATGATTTTTACACTTAACAAATGATTTAACAAATTACAAGCCAGGAGTCATGCTAGACACTGGTATAGTGGCAAACAAAGACATGGTCCATGAACCCACAGAACTTCCACTATATTAAGGGGAACAGTTGGGACTCCCATCTCTACGACTGGATAAAACAAATGCTGACACACTCTCCGTTCAAATCTAAGTTTAAAATGTGTACATCCATGTCTCACTGTCTCTCCCCATATCAAAGCCCACCTAGCCCTGCAAACTTACCCACATGTTTCGAGATCATTTGGCTAAAGTAAAAACCCCAATTTCTTCCCTGTATAATCCCTCAGGTTAACCATGTCACCGGCACACAGCAAAGCTCATCCCATTCCTCAAGCCTAAATGTCTTACTTCTTAAAGAGTCCACTCTGCAACTTGCTGTTCAGGTCTGACTCAATGAGTTTATTCCGCGTTTCCTTTTCACTTCGAAGCTGAAAAGTGAGAAAACAGAGAAAAGGGAAGAAGTTGACTATTGGTGAAAAATCAGCAGTGTTGAGAAGGACCAAGATGAAAGCATCCTTCTGAAGAAGATAGGATAACATTAAAGGAGGAAAGGAACTGAGAAAAAGGTAAGTACACCAGTTGGATCTGCTTAGAAGATAATGAGACAATGACAGAGGAAAATCTTCATGCAAGAGAGAAGAAAAAAACCATGGTATTAGAGCATTATCAACATGGGGCATGCATGTGAGTGCTCAGAGCAGAGGGACTAGACAACTGGAGGAAGGAGATCATGGCGTGAGCAGACTCAACAGAGGGTGTCATCTCTCTCTGTCTCTCTCTCTCTCTCTTTCTCTCTCATGGATCCACATATTCTATCATGAAAAGACAGCTTTTCACCAAAAAGAAAAGAAAAGGTAGAAAAAGAAAACTTCCCCGATAAAATAGCCAAATCAAATCTTCCCCAAAAGCCTAGCTTATGAAGGACAGAAAGCCAAAAAGAACTCTGAAAGAATTCTTAATAATCCATATCCTTAAATAAGTTGGCAATAGTTCTATAGAAAACACAAGAACCAATAGGAATCAAGCCTTAAACAGAACTATCTAGTATCTGTATGAATGCTTTAGACAAAATATATTAACATTTTTGGAACCTATAGCTATACAGGGGACAAAGATAAGAACCAGTCCCATTAATGTAGAAACATTATTTAGTGAAGATATCTATGTTCACAGCTTAACTATTCTAAGCAAAGGATATATAGGAACTGTCTATACTATTTCTGCTACTTGAATGTAAAAATTATTTTGGAATTTGGGACCAGCGGATGGCTTAATGGTTATGTCACTGGACTCCCATAGTCAACTGCGGTTCGTGTCCTGAACTTAGCAGTTTCAAACTCACGCTGGATGCATGTGTACGCGTGCCCAAAATCTCAAGAGGAGAGTGTAGGGCAAGGGATTGTGACATGGACATTCCCCTGGGAGAGTGATTTCTCACTTTCTGTTTCTCTGTCTCTCTGGTGAGAGCACATACCCTGTAGCAAAAATAATTTTGGAATTGTTTTAAAAACCACAAAAATTAAACTAAGAAAAGTATAGATCTTATATTAGGAAGGCTGTTGCTGCTAAATAACAATACCAATACTATATCTGGAAAATATTGTATATTGTACTGTTTACTAGAAAATAAGTATCTAAGTGACCCATTGCTTAACAAAGAAAAGAAAATTATCTATAAGTTGTGTTTGTCTGAGCTTTATGTATGCGACTTTCCTGCTAAGCCTTGCTGAACAGTAAAATGAGAATCTTTACTCTACAGGTCTAGACATAATGCCAAATACAGTCAAGGTTAGATATGATTCATTTGTCCCATAACTGAGCTAAATAGTTCTCTGATTAAGAACTGCTGTTTCTCACTTTTGTCCTAAACTTGAGCTCACATGCCCTGAGCCCATGGTGCATAGAAAAACCAAACAAACAATCCCACCCCCAAAAAACACCCAAAAAAACAAAACAAAAAAAACAATAGCAAAGGAAAGAGAGTGATTAATTATTTTTTTTTCCTATCCCACCCTGTCCCTGATTCTTATTCTCCTTGCTCAAATTACTTGTCCCCTCATGGGTAGAAAATATGTCCTAGTCACTCTTCATCTGAACATATGTATTTCTATTCTGCAATCTATGCATGCATACCATGCTCATGGAAATCTCCTGGATAGCACCAAAAGTGGCTCCTGCAACCAATAATAAAATATTTAAAACAAGTAAGAGGAAGAGAAAAACTGGACTGTGGATATTTCGTGAATCTAGAATAAGTATGACCACTGCCTGAGTACTGTCTAATACCACATGACAGTGTCAGATTGGTGTGTTTAAGAAATATATTGCTATCTGTAATCAATGTACTTTAAAAAAAAAGAGAGATCCTCTTAGTCAATAAGATTAAAGCTGTGAGGGATCCTATGCCTGCTACTACCTATTTGGAAAAAACTGATGTAAACATATCACATTCACTTTCTAAAACTCAAGGACAATTACAAGTTTTTCGTTTCTGTTTTTAACTTTTAGTTGCTTGAAGGCTGATGATGGCAAACTTTAACAACAACAGTGGCTGGAATATTTCCTTCTAACAGACTGCTAATAGCTGCAGAAGGGAACAATGAACATCTCTGGAATGCAGATCCATCCATTTCAGCTCTCAGCAGACATCACTAAAGTGAGACACCTGGTGCCTACTGCAAACTGTTAGAAAAGCTTTCAAAGACTCACCACATTCTGCTTCTTCTGGAGCATCTCTAAGTGTTCCACAAGACCCTCATCAGCCACATCAAATGGTGTCTGGCCCTGGCAGAGAAAAGGAGCACCATGACTGACAGAAAATGAAAGGAGCAATCACGTCACTTTTTTTTTTTTTTTTTGGAGAGGTTTACGCTATAGGGCGTGTGCATTAGCCAGAAAGACAGAGACGGAAAGCAAGAAATCAGTCCCCCCTCCCCCAGGGGAAATGGCCAAGCTACAATCCCTTCTCCTCCATTCTTCTCTGGGGATCTTGGGCACACATGAACATGTGCCTGGCATGAGTTTAAGCCACTGGGTCCGAGACTTGAACCACAGTCAACTACATGGGAGTCCAGCAACATAACCATTATGCCAACTGCTGGTCCCAAATGGGACTTTCTTTTAACAGTTTTCACTTTCACTTGATACCAATGATTGGTGTTTCCCTAATTGATCTACCTTACATTATAATACCTTTGTCTATCATAGAGGAAGCATAACAAGCACATCCTTTAATATAGAGTTTTATTAATACATGTTGTAATACGGTATTGAGAAAAACCACCACATCATTTCTAATGCTGCTGCCTCTTGGCAAATAACCAAGTGAAATCCCTATTTCTACCTATTCTAAAATAGTCTTGATTGTTATGACAAATTCAACAAGGGGTTCTTTACTAAGTCAGTCTCCACTTAACATATACTGTCTGTCTACACTCTATGGTAGAGACTGAAAGACTGGAGGAAATAAAAGCATTTAAAATTGTTATGGACACTGAGGACAAAGTGGAAGGAGAGTGGGAGAGGGGAAGAATGCTGGAAGGAAAATTTAGGAAAAAATGGAGAAGACATTTGTGGACACAGATATGGTTGTTGCCTGTTGATGTTGTATACAGTATTCTCAACTCACCTGGTGTGTGGCATATATCATGTTGGGTAAAATCTCTTTACAATTTAAATGAGAAATAGTAATTGAATATATAAATAATAATAAAAATATTTTTAAAAATAGGCAAATGAACTGAAGAGATAACTCTCCAAGGAAGATGTATGACTGGTCAAAAAAGCATATGAAAAAATGCTCAGCATCTCTTATCATAAGGGAAATGCAAATCAAAATCACAATGAGATACTACTTAACCCCAGTCAGAATGGCTAAGATTAAAAAAATAAAGACTGTCAAGTGCTGGCTAGTCTGTAGTGAAAAGGGAACCCTCCTACACTGTTAGTGGGAATGTAGATTAGTCCAGTCACTATGAAGAACAATATGAAGGTGTCTCAAAAACCTACAAATAGAATTACCATATGACCCACTAACTCCACTCCTGGGTATTTATCCAAGGTATAGGAAAACAGGAAAAAAAACACTTCACACATCCATGTTTACTGCAGCATTATTCACAACTGCCATGAAATAAGCCCAAATGCCCAAGAACAGATAACTGGATTGAAAAAATGTGGCATATATACACTATATACACATATATACAGTGAGAGACACTGACATTTGATATGAAGTAGATGAATATGGAAGATGTAACGCTAAGCAAAGGGATCCAAATTATGCAACAGTCACCGTACGTCCCCCACCCAATATATTCTAAATGTCTGCATTCTATGGCAGAATCTGAAAGATGGGAAGGTACAATAGCAGGAAGAGCAACTGTACATACCAGAGACAGCATAAAAGGGGGAGGTTATCAGCAGGTGGGAAGGAGAAGATGGAGGAGGAATATTTAATACATGAATGAAAAGTTATCTATAGATGATAATGTATATTGAAATATCTTTGACTTGATTGATATGCACTGTAGTCATGCTGGGAAAAACATTTTGTAGACTGTAAAGCTGTACAGTGACTAATTGTACATATAAAATGTAAAAAAATTAAAAAAAAAAACACAAAACACCTCAGAGAGCACGTGTGCCCTTAAGATTAGGTCATGGGAATCACCTCCCTTTAAGTGAGAGGAAAGCAGATAAGGAGGTTTTCTCTTGTCTGCACAATTAAGGACCCTGACTCACACACAGTCTGAGAATGGAACCTGGGTTCAAGAGAGAGGTGAGGCAGATAACATCGAGTGCTAATAAAAGCCCCTGTCTCTGGATTCCCAGAAAATCAGAAGACAGGGGTTACAGAGCTTCTAAGTTGTTTGAAGTGAGCTGAATAAAACTATTTTCAGCCATACTCAAGGATCTTTGTCGTTATAACATTTTTTGATGATCTGATATGAAAACGACCCTGCTGTTAAAAGACTCTGAATTTAAAAATACAAAAATCCTTCATTCCTTACCATAGTCAATGGCCTTGGGCTACCTCAAAGCTCATTTTTGGCCAAAGGCAATCTTTTTTCCCCCTCTGTTTGTTTGTTTTAGGGGTTTCAACATAAACAAAACCAGAAGACTAGGTCAGTGGAGTTTTATTTTATAGAGCAAACATAGTTCTGTGCTGTTAACAGGGGTGGGGTAAGGGACATGTGGAGGGCAACACCATGGCACTCAGGGATATACACTGGCCCAGCGCAGCCTGCCTGGCCAGTGACCTGGAACTTTAAGCCTCCTCTCTAGAGACCCAGCCCCCCATTCTCATTGCCCATGTAGAGGTTCAGGCTCACTAACCAGCTTGTTCCGGATATCCATGTCACAGAGTGCTTCTGCCAGGATGGAGCAGGCCTCCTTCACTCCCCAGTGTGCAGCAGCATGGAGTGGGGTCCAGCCATCATGATCTTGAACATTGAGTTCATAGCCAGCCTGAATTAGAAGTCTGGGAAGAAAACCCCAAGAGCAACATTTATCTCCTCCATATACAACAAAGAAACTATCTCCTAATTGGTATTTCAGATTTGGTCCTGAATCACAGGGGTCCTGTGATCACTCTTGCCTCTGAGTACTACTCAGGTTTCACCATTACTACTCTGGGCACCAATCATAGATGATCTTACCAACCCTCTCCAAAAGGCCATCTGGTATCTCCTGGATACATCAGGTTATACCCTACAGGGGGAGTGTACCCAAAGGTGTGTATCTGAGGTTAACCAAGGCCTAATCCAACTAGCCAGGTCACACAACTCTATCATGAACTGTGTTTTCCATTTGTCAGTGCAGGAGGTAGTATCTAAACTGAGGACTCAATTCTCTTCAGGGTACTTTTCTAATTAACTTTCTGGTTGGTCTTTCAGGATATCATATGTTTACTGTAGACTCATACTCCAGTTTCTTGCTAACTGTAAAACTACAGTCTAATTTGTACACATAGAAGCATGAAGGTAATGACCCCTGAAGCCCCAAACTGCACTGGGCTGGAGGAGGTTGTCTGTATTGTGGGCCCCCAGACATTTCCAAGGACTGGAGAGAGTATAAATGTCACCTGTAGGCAGAAGTGGAGTAACCCACCGCACGCCTACTAGAAACCCCATATTAAGAAGAATGAGGGGTTAGCAGGTGGCATACTGGACCCCCACATAGCCAACTGCGATTCAAGTCCAAGACTCAGTGGCTTGATAATCATGCCGGGAGCATGTATGTGAATGCCCCAAATCCTGAGAGGTGAATGGATCACTCTGGGGGGTGATTTCTCTCTTTTTCTTTCTCTGCCTCTCTTGGGTGAGTGCATGTGCCCTATGGCAAAACCTAAAAAATAAAAAGAAGAAAAAGAAGAAGACTATGAAGCACTGGAAAAGTTCAACAATAACTGCACACGCGATGCCTTTAGCAACCTATGCATTAGGGAAAGCCTACCATCATTAACTCTAAGTGCTACCTAAAGCATGTATGGACATTAAGGAAAAATGAACCAGGTATAGTAGCAGAGTCCAGATCCTTCACGTAAGTTTGACTATCTTGCTCTAGCCTAACACACATTCAAGATCTATATAAGTAATCTGTCCCAAGGGAATTACCTAAGTCAAAAGGGTCCAAAATGATGACAAGTCTTTCCTGTATGACACACAAATCATAGAGGTTATAGGGATATTAATGACAAGTCATAGAGCTGAAAAAGGCCTTGAAAGATCACTTTGGGCCAGCCTGTGGCCTGGTGGTAAGGAATCTGCATCCAACTTGGCCAACTATGTGGTCTGGGTGCTAGATCCAGCAGCTTGAAACACACACCAGACACATAGGCATGCGCACCCCAAATCCTGACAGGATGGAGAAACAGAGAAGGCGAGACCATGCCCCATGGTGGCTGATTTCTCCTCTTCCCTATCTCTGTATGTCTCTTTTTCTTTATCTAGTGCATGAACCTTCTGACAAATTGAAAAATAAAAGAAAGATCATCTCTTGGCCAGTGGACCTCAACTTTGTTTCATGTCACACAGGTCAGGGAGAAGCTAGAAGAATGCTAAAGGGGAGGGAGATCATCCATGGATGAATACAAGCAAAATGTGAGAAAAGACTACAAGATCAGAGAGGAAACCAATAAAAAAGAAAGCATACCACAGTTGAAAATCTAATTGACCCTGTTTCCAAAATCCATCTCATCTCCTCCTACTCAACCAAACTCCTGATTGACGCAACTGGACAATACCTGAGGACTTCAGAGTAGCCCTTGGCAGCAGCCACGTGGAGGGCTGTGGCCCCTGAGCGAGCCTGCCTCACATCCTCGATTTTCCCACTGTTGAGCCACTGGCGGGCATCCTGCAACATCTGCTGCTCTTCTTCTTTTCTTGACTGCTCTAGATCAACTCCTACAGAAACCAGATACCAGATGGCCAGGATTACTAAGGCTCCACTTAAGTCTGACAGGATATTTTCCTTAGGTTGAAAACACATCACAAATATAACCACAAACAATGATTTTATCATCAAGTGAGTAGTCATAAAATTTAGAAGAACAATGGCATTTGTACACACGGAAGTGGTCATACCAGGGTTAAGTTGACTTAAATACTGAGTTGTTGGAAAAGTCATGATGTTATTTTTGCATAAAAAAATAACATCATGACTTTACTGACGACCCAAAATTATGTGATACAGGTCCATTAAGCAGACACACTCAAATTGTTTTCAATAGTATGTAAAGTCCAAGGCCAGCAGGTGGTGCAGTGATTAAGGTGTTGGACTCGCACACGGCTGACCGTGGTGTGAGTCCTGGACCAGGCACCAGCTTGGAAATCACACCAGGCACATGTGCATGCATGCCCAAAATCCTGGAAGGAGAATGGAAGGGAAGGGATTGGTCATGCCTCCTGGAAGGTGATTTCTCACTTTTCTTTTCTCTGTCTCTATCGTGAGGGCACACTCCCTATGACAAAAACCTAAAAAAAAAAAAAAAAAAAAAATTCAAAAAAAGTACTTAAAGACCCAAGGAGACATTACTTTTCATTATAGTATTTATACAAACTTATAAACTTCAAAGTCTTTTTACTTGTTATAGGATTTTAATTTCCTGACAATTCTTTGAGGTACATATGATAGATATTACCATCCCCATCTAATAGATGAGGAAATAAACATAAAAAGCTGAGATGTCTTGCTCAAGGCCACAAAGCACATTAGTGAGAGAGCTCCCTTCAGAGCTTCTAATATTTTCGGTCCCTGTCCATTGTTTCTTTTCTACTCAATACACTGTAAGACTGGTATCAAAAATCCTGGTTTCAGGTGTGACTCACTTTAAAAATCAAACTACCTCTACCGTTCACTTCCATAAGTAGGCAGACACACTGAAGTGAAGCTGTATCAGACAGGGCAGATGAGCAGGTGACCTGAGTTGAAAAACTGGTCTGTTTTCAAGGAAACATACTGTAGATTTAGAGTCCCATAAAAACATAGGCAGGATCTCTAAGAGTTCTTCCTTTTGCCCATAATTCTCTAACATCTGTACCAGTGAAGGGGGCAAATGCCATTGCATAAAATATAAAATGTCCCAAATAAAACAAAGCCATTCAGAGAGTTTTATACTCATTAGCAGCCCTCGTGCTTGATCTGCTTCCTCTCAGCTCTAAAATGAGACCCGTGAACTACCTAAGGGTTATCTGACTTAGGGATGTGGATGGGGTGAGAAGCAGTAACTGCTTTAGCACAGACCAGAATTTAGCACACAAGTAATTGTTCACAGGCTACAAATTTAAGCATATATATGAATATTCTTCCAACAGACTATGCTCCTTACTTAGAGAGTCAGCAATCAAAATAGAAAAAGTGGTTTGTTGAATCAAAACTATTCTCAAAAACCCAGTTTTTAAAAAATGGCTTGTAAATTTTAAAACAAATCTTAGAAGATAAAACTGAATGGGACTGGGCCATCAGGTGGCGTGGTTGTTAGGGCACTGGACTCCCTCCCACATGGCTGACTGCAGTTAGAGTACCAGACTTGGTGGCTTGCTTTTATATTTTCTCTGTCTCTCTTTGGTGGGCACACGTGCCCTGTAACAAATTTTAAAATAATAAGTAAAGAAAATTAAATTAAAAAAAAAATGAGTGGGACTAGAGGATAAAAGAAGTATAAAATTCTTTAATTCAATAGGGCACAAAAATTACACATTGATGGCAGTAAAAATAGGCAGCTATTGACCTAGAACATCACTATTTTAAGGCTGGGTCAACATACTTACTATAAAGGGCCAAATATTAAAAGGCTTCAGGTCTGTGACTCAACTCTGCTGCTTTAGCATTAAACAGTTTTAGATCATATGTAAACAAGTGGGCGTGGCTGGATTTGTCCCACTTATTCTAACCGATCAGATCATGGAAGACCACTGACGCTAAATCCTTTGGGATGAACTGCAGATTGTGGGTAAAGTAGTTTAGCAGGAGGGATAACAAAATCACTACGAATCATGTCTAGAGAGCTGTGTGATGCCTAGCAGACTTCTTAAGCCCTGTCCTCCCGGCTCTCTGCCTAGCATATTTGCAACATGTTCTTTTTTAAATTAAAAGAACCCAGAAACATCCAATCAGAGAATCCCACTCTGTTCTCAGAAATAGATTCTTTCAGAAATATAAATTAAGAATATACATTTTTTTTTTAAAGTATATTGTTAGCTTCCTTACCTTAAGGAGCTACCAGAACACATTTTTTTTTTTTTTTAAACCAGAACACTTTTCATGGCTAGTATGGTTAAAGATCATTTCCAGGTTACAATAAATATCTTTATCAGTACCATTTTTAGCTCTCATCAACAGAAAAGATGCAAGTCACCAACTCAATTTAGCCTATGCTCAAATTTACACTGTATCCCACCCTTTTTTTGGACTCTACAATATGTACAAAATCCAATACCAGGTATACGCACAGCAAGACATGACTATGTCCCCCTGCAGGGACTAACCATACAATGGGCGTACAACCTCTGAATGGCAAAAACGAGGAATAACTAGTCATGCTTTTGGCTCTTGGCCTATTCGTGAGAGTTATTAAAAGGATATGTGATGCTGATAATTGGTGATTGATGTGGTGCAGACAGATCTAATCCTTTCCTGTCATATGATAAAGAAAAGCTCCACAAACCAAGGGGATTACTTTCTGTAAGTGGTCATATTTAGGGATCTCTCCTACCCCGCCAATTCCTTGAGTTACCTTGCTTCTTTACTTGTTCCAAAAGAAGATCTTTCATGGCTGGCTCTTCCGCAAGGTCAGAGGGGACTTCACCTTCGTTATTCACAATACCCACACTGGCGCCATGGTTAATGAAATACCTGTGCAGATAAGACCCAGGATCAATATGATCTCTGCCAATCTAGTCTTAATTTATACTCCCTGTTGGAGTTCAATGCAGAGCAAATCCTCTATTTGGGGAATTCAAATATGGTTCCAGATAAGATGTTCTATTATTACTTTTGAAATTCATTGGCCTTCAATAATTAGGACTGGGGGTTTCTCCATTTCCTGACAACAGAAAAGCCAACAAACAGGATTTCCTTTACCCTCATATTTCTAATTCCCACCCTCTCTCACCAGACAAAGTCTCAGCAAGAAACTTTCTAAATATCATAAGGATTACCTAGTAAACCGTATCATAGATCCTTTTTCCCCCCAAGGTTTTTGCCATAGGGTGAATGTGCTTTCCTGAGAGGAGAGACAGAGAGGGACAGTGAGAAATCACTCCCCAGAGGGAATGGCCACACTGCAATCCCTTCTCCTCCATTCTTCTCCTGGGATTTTGGGCATGCGCACACACATGTCCAGTGTGATTTTCACGCCTCCAGGTCAGGGACTTGAACCATGGCTTGCCATGTGGGAATCCAATGCCTTAACCACTACGCCACCTGCTGGTCCCACCACAGATTCTTTCTGATGTCTAAAGATCCTTTGTATAAAATTATCAGGAGTCTTAGGCAACATTATGTCACAGGCAATGTGGGTACTATAACCCCCACTTTAAGAAATTGAGGCACAAACATGTTAAGTAATTTCTTCAAACTCACACAGTGGGCCATTGCCTCTGCCAACAGTCTTTTGACTTTTGACTTCAAGTCTAGATAATCCTTTCTCTAGATCAAGTTAATTTTGGGCTAGTGAGAACCCAATGACACTAGGAATTCTATCAAATATGTAGAAGTATTTAAAAGAGAAAGGAAAAATACTCAAGTTATATTTTAGTCCATTTGACAATTTGACATTTATTGGTCCCCTACTGTGTTCAATGAGCCACGTTATAGATACTGTAGGAAAAAAAAAAAAAGAGACTACATGGCAGGGCCAGAGGGTGGCATGGTGGTAAAATGCCACCTCTATAAAGCTAACTCACATAGGAAAGTTCTGAGTTTGCATCTGGAGACCTCATGAGTATGTGAGGCATGAGCGTGCCCATGATCCAGGGCAGGATGGAACTGGGAGTGGATCAAGGCATCAAGACATTGTTTAGAGTGCCATCGTGTGCTCTCTCTCTCTCTGGCTCACGAATGGGAAAAAAAATAAAAAAAAAAATTTCTTTAAAAATTGCCATTGGGACCAGCAGATGATATAATGGCTATGTTGCTGCACTCCCACAGGGTAGACAGCAATTTGAGTCCTGGACCTGGAGGCTTGAAACTCACACCAGGCGTGTGTGTGTGCATGCCCAGAATCCTGAGAGGAGAATGGAGAAGGGATCAGCAGAAGGCCATCGCTCCTGAGGGGTGATTTCTCACTTTCTGTCTCTCTGACAAGTGCATGATTCCTATAGCAAAAATCTCTCTTACAAAAAAAAAAAAAAAAAAGGCCATCACTGGGACCAGCAGTTGGCATAATGGCTATGTCGCTGGACTCCCATGTAGTTGACTACCGTTCGAATCCTGGACCTGGTGGCTTAAACTCACGCTGAGCGTGTGTGTGTGTGTGTGTACCCAAGAACCCAAGAGGAGAATGGAGAGAATGGAGAAGGGACTGCAGCATGCCCTCCCCCCTACCCCCCACCGGAGGATGATTTCTCGCTTTCTGTCTTTCTGGTGAGCATGCACCCTATAGCAAAAATCTCTCCAGAGGGGGAAAAAAAAAAGCCCATCACATGCAAAGGGTTGGCAGAGAACGAATCGATAACAATTAGATTATGACCATGATTTTGCTTTCTCAGTGCCTAGTACCGGATATAATAGGGCCTTGATACAAATTAATTTATAGATCAATTACACGTGTATAAATCTCAAAGGAATTCACAATTCCTCTAAGCTCCAACTATCTCCTCACAGTCTCAGAAGAAAACAGATCTTATTCAATTCCAGGGCTAACTCCCTTGCTGTAATCTGTAGTTCTATTAAGTACCAGGACTCTGTCCATCAATAACAGCTTCATCCCTCCATAGTCAATAACTCCTCTCTTCTGGTTCCTCTCCCTCAGACAAAAAGAACATTGAACTACCTCTCCCCCATCGTGAAAAATCAAAATGCAAATAATATAAATATTGGGTAAACGGGAAAGTCATGATGCATTTTTGCATAGAAAAACACAGAAAATTACAACACGACTTTTCCAATGACCCGAGAGTAAGCGATCGATAAATGTTTGTTGGATTGAACTGTACTGTGTACTCCATTCAGTCTGACCCACTTACACTTCCCAAGCACAGCCACTGTCACCTGATTCTCTTCCACAGCTCTCGTGGTTCCCCCAGCTGGATGGGACACTCTTCCTTTACTCTTCCCTCATAGAAAGCTTTCACATCTTTCAAGGTCCATTTAAAAAGCCTTTGCCTGTTCTTAACAATTGAGCTCTCTCTTCCTTTAACACTGTTTCCCATCTCCTCACAAATAGTTAACTGTGCACCTCGGTTATGACATGCACTTTACTTAATGTAACCACTCCATCACTGAAAGCTACGAGGGAGCAACTGTGTCCTCCTCAGGATTATCCTCACCTCCTATTTCATCTTTGCACTCCATAAAAATTGCTTGAATTCAACGACATCTCTCAGTCATTCTGCTCTGACATCTGTTATGAAAACTTACTAGATCAGGCACAATGGCACTTGGGTGGACAGGGCCCTGGTTTTTCCCTATTCTGACAAGTTCTTGGGCCCACAGTCAAGGTGAATCACTTCTAGAAAGTAATCTGGCTTGCCACTTTTTCATTTTCTCCAGCTTTAGGGAAAAAAAAAACTCTTTAGTTTTATACTTTTAAATGAACAAGAGTACATCAACCTATAAAATAATATCTACAGTTATCCCAGAGAATCCTTTCAGATACCCAGAAACTCAAAAATAGATATTAGCTCAATAAATATGCCCTTAGAAAATAAAGCCTTTCTGTCTTCCCCAACTTATCACTCTTTATATAAAGTGTTTTTTCCTACCATTCTAAGGAAGAAAGAAATAAAATATGTTCAATAACTCAGAATAAATTAAAATTCCAATAATCTATAAAGCCAAGCTAAATGCTGTACTCTTGAGTCAATCTGCTATCCCTATGTTAAACACTATTCACAATAAAAATGTAAAAATGACCAGCTAACTAGTGTTAAGCTTAAACTCAAATTAAAATGAGGAAATTGCTTCAAAACCTCTTTTCTTGATGTACCCTAATTGAGTTCAAATATGAGACAGAAAGATCGTCACGGAACATAAATAGAATGTATATGAATTCTTCCTAGAAAACCAGTTTGCCTTTTATTCATATCTATGCCCTTGAAAGTTGGAGTAGCTAATGATTCTGGAAATAAGAATATAAAAATCTTGAACATAAACAAAAAAGAAAAGAAAAATGGGGGCAAAAAAAAAATGGGGGCAGCAGGTAGCATGGAGGTTAAGGTTGCCGGACCACACATGGTTGTCTTTGTGGTTCAAGTCCCAGAACCATCAGCTTGAAATTTATATCAGTTACGTGTACGTGCCCAAAAATCTCAAGAGGAGACTGGAGAAGAAGGGATCGCAGTGTGATCATTCCCCATGAGGGGGTGATTCTTCACTTTTTCTTTCTCTCTCCATCTCTCTCCAGGGAGTGCATATGCCCCATAAAGAGAGAAAGAGAGAGAAAGGAAAAGAAAAATGACAAGATGACCAAGGGCTGATCTTTCTTTCCTTTTTTTAGGTTTTTGCCATATGGTGTGTGCACTTGCAAGAGAGAGACAGAGAAGGAAAGTGAGAAATCACCCCTCAGGGGGCTGGCCACATCACAATCCCTTCCCCATTCTTCTCTAGGGATTTTGGGCACACATGCATATGTGTCTGGCATGATTTTCAGGCTGCTGAGTCTGAGACTCGAACCTGGCCAACCATGTGGAAATCCAGTGCCTTATTCCACCTGCTGGTCCCCAGGGGCTGATCTTATCAAAAAGGTTTTTCATTGTCTTTGAGATAAAACAACCAAAATGAGTAACATAAAAAATAGAATTATTTTCTACTGTATTAAAAATGCTAAATACTGTAAATAATTATATTACAATAAAGTCAAAACCCATCTAAAATTATAAAAGTTAAATTAATCTCGTGGTAAGGCTTTCATCTGTTTAATTTGTGATTATTTGTATTAGGAAATAGTTATTTTTCACAGATTTATTTCATTCAAAGTAATGGCTGATTAGGAGACTATTAAAGTTTGAACTCATTTCCAAAAGAACTGTATTTATCCATAAAGATGAATCAAAGAAACCACTACAGAAAAGTGATTACAATCATCCTCTGTATCCAGTTTCACAAAAGGAGGATAATGTCAACACATGTGTTCCTAATTCTTTTTTACTTTTTACAAGTTTGATAGAGGGTCCATGCACTCCCTGGAGAGAGACAGAGAAAGCGAGAAAGAAAGAAAGTGTCCCCTATCACCACCACCCTGTGGGAGACGGACACAATCCCTTCCCCACTATTTCTCCTTCCTTTCAGGATTTTGGGCACACGTGCACACAAGTGGACACACCCAGTGTGTTTTTCAAGCTGCAAGGTCCAGGGCTCAAACTGCAAGGTCAATTATATGGGATCCAGTTCCCCCAATCATCCAAAATTAATAAGCATGAGTTCTACTTTGAAAGGTTAAAAGAAACATGGGCAAAAACCAGAATCCTTGAAAGTCATGAAATTCAGTAATTCAAATGTCACAAACAAGCCATCTGAACAAGTAATCAGATATAATAACGAGGGGCCAAGGTGACCCAGAAATGTTCCTTAGGTAAATGTTTTAGGTAAAATGGAAATCTACAAGGTGGTCACCTTAGCTTTTAGGCATCAGAAAGTTGGTGCTGCTGGGTAAGGCTAAGAATCAGAGACTTTCCAATGGAACGCTGCAGTGTGAGCAACCTCGAGGATGAAGAGGTGACTGACTTTCACTAAACTGGAAGACTGCGGAACCAGGACTGAGGCAGCCTGCACTGTTCATTTCCATGGACTTTGGGGCCAATCCGATGGTCCACTTTTTACAAAAAGCAGACCTGTCAAACACTAGGGCTGCTACCTACGGCTTTTGGTTCTGACTCTCCTTTTGTTTAACTTCTGCTAAGCACCCCTGGCCAACAGCAAGCCCAATGATGGGGACCCTCCTCCGGAAATGTGGACAAATCAGATCTGTGGGAAGTTAGTCTCATGCCTCTCCACACCTGCCATTATAATTTTCTCTGCTCCTTGGTAAGAGAAATGTAAGGGAACTCTAATCATATTCTAGAAAAGGCCATAAAACAAGTAATCTGATTTTCAAAGGACCACAGAATGTCATGATTTTATTTAGGTTATTTACCCTGTCAATCTAAATTTACCCTCACCTAGAATACATTCAATGTCTCATCTTAAAGATGTTTCAGTGCTAAAGTGTCTCTCCTATTAAAAATTTCCCTGGACCATCCAGTGGCTAGGACACTGGATTCCCACATGGTTGACTGTGGTTCAAGTGCTGGATCTGGTGGCTTGCTTTCTCACTTCCCCCACTCTCTCTCTAGTAAGTGTGCGTGCCCTGTAACAAATTGGAAAATACTACTACTACTAATAAAATTAAATAATTATTTAAACCCCCCCCCCCCAAAAAAAAATTCCCTGATTTAGGCCAGCAGATAGCATCGTGGTGAAGGTACAGGATTCCTACAGGGCTGACTGCAGTTTGAGTCCTGGACCTGCTGGCTTGCTTTCTCACTTTCCCTCTGTCCCTCTGTCTCTCTCTGGTGAATGCATGTGCCCTATACCAAAATTTTAAAAATAATAATAATAATTAAATAATTATTTTTAAAATTTCCCCGATTATTCTTTCCTACAGTAGACATTTATTTAGTGCTTCTTGTCTCCCAGCACTACGTGATCAGGATTCTTCTGCCCAAGGGAGGGGCAACTAGTTACAATGAAGGTTAGTAGTTACTAATGTATCTTATTAAACATACACGATCCACTAAAATTGAAAATGCAGGCCAATCCCCTTCTTTTGTCATACATGTTTAGGCTCTTTCTACCACATGCATGCAGGGATCAGTATGTCAGGCATTTCTTCCCTTCTTGTTTGCACTAAGTACTGATTGGAGGTGTGGGGGAGGAACAGGTTTGCAACAACCTATAAGAAATAAGAAAAAAAATCTCCAGGCCTGCCTACGTAGTTGTTCAGCGGCGGTTGTTCATAAAGTGAACCCAGACAGTATAACAGACAGAAGCCACCCCTGCATATCCCCAAAATATATATTACCTGAAAAGAGAAGCAAACAAAGAGTTTCAACTAAAAAACTATAAATTTAGCAGCTATCTAAATATAGCATCAGTTGTTCTTTTAAACAATTATTCTTCCTACTTTTGTAATTCGTAATAAAGAGAAGTTATATGAGATTGAAATTGTTAAGAGTAGAGGGGAAATGAAGACTGCTTTGAACACTTGGACACCTGGAACCCACCCTGGGCCCACTCACTCTGCTATGTTCAGATAGCCACAGGAAGCTGCCGCATGGAGGGGTGTCCAGCCCTCGTTGTCTTGCTGGTTTACATTGGCTCTGTTCTCCACCAGAAACTTCACCATGTCCAGATTTTCATCAATACAGGCCTGAAAAGAAAAGTCCATTCATTCATTCAACAAGTATTTATTGAGTTGTATGACCATGCCAGACACTGCTTTGTGCACTAACAGTGCCCCTTGGGCTAATGATACATTACTTACTATTTCTTTCATATTAAGTGTCTACAGCCTGTCTTGCTCATGCCAGACTCTTAATGTCTCCATGCCTCAAAATAACTCAGCTGTGAAACAGGAACAATGATATTTAATCTCTCTCTCTCTCTTTTTTTAGTTTTTGCTACAGAACACATGCACTTGCCAGAGACACACAGAGAGAGAAAGTGACAAATCGCTTGGGAGCGGGGAGCCTGGGGGCTGGGGGGGACGCTATGCAGCAATCCCTTCTCCTTTATTCTCCTCTAGGGATTTTGGGCATGTATGCATGCATGTGAGTCCAGCATGATTCTTGTGCTTCTAGGTCTAGGATTTGAACCGCAAAGCCGGCCATGTTGGATCCAGTGCCTTAACCTCCATGTCACCTACTGGCCCAATGATACTTAGTCTTATTCATACTACTACTAGGATTGATTGTGAAAGTGATTCTAAAGTGCTATAAATGAGTGGGTTGTTTTATCTTTACATCATAAAAAAGACAGCATCTTAGAAACTAATTTGCTCATGAATTAAAAAAAACAACTAGTCATATAGTATCAGAGACAATTTTCTCAGGGGAAGTTGTAGTATAAGACTCTAGGATTGCTAAAAAAAAAAAAAAAAAACAAAAAAAACCTGCTTTGATGAGAAAGGGTAGGATGATCAATTCAAATAGAAGAAATGTATTTTCCTGGTGGCTTCAAACAATATGGCTAAGCATGTTTGTAATTATGAGTGGGTAGGGATCCTCATCTGCCCATTTCAAGGCAGTTACTGGGGGAAGCAGAGCAGCTTTGTGAATGAAGGCTTTAGGCCTCTATAAGCCTAAAAGAAACAGTCCCAAATAGTAATGAGATCTGCAGAAACCGAAAGGCTGTCTTGACAGAGCTATAGGATGAAAAGGAGATAGAAGGCCCATGTGGACACAAGTAACCATCATTAGGGCTCAGAGGGATCAAAAAGAGTTGGAATAAATCAGGACCTAAGAACAAATGAGAACTCCCCCAATCCTAAAATCGCACTTTTTGGTCCTCTCCTTTAATTAAAAAAATAAAAGTTAGAACTCTAGTTGAGTAAGAATTAATTAAGCAAACCAAAATGATTTTCACAGTAATATTAAGATGTTATTTGCTTTCCCCTGCACTGACATAAAGATGCAAAAGCAATGTGAGGTAAAACTGCAGGTGCCTTTGCAGGAAGCAAGGAAATGGCATCGGAAGTTGTCACTATTCTTTTCCACCAGCACTCGCAGTTGGAAAGGGTACAAAAGCCAGTTTAACCGAAGAATAACTTTGATGAAACAGTAAAAATAATGAATTTTCTTACGTTTCAGTTCTTGAGCAGTCCTTTTAATATTCTGTGTGATAAAATAGGAAATACACGTAAAGCATTTCTGCTGCACATTAAGGTACGATGGGTATTTCCAGGAAAAAGCACTCTCTGTTCGAGTCACGAGATGAACTAGCCACTGTTATGGTATTTTTACTCAAAAGAATAACTGACAGACAAATTATGGTTATTCAGACTTGAAAGTGAACAAAGTAAGTCTGTTACGTCAAGAAAAGAACTGGTATTTGTTGCCAATGATAAAATGTGACCATTTAAGTAAAAATTAGGATTTGGGGAAACATAGCTACCCAATACATACTTTTTAAATGACAGCAGTGGGACTGTCAACAAATGTGATTTGCTTATATTGTATAATGAAATGTATTTTACATGTGGGAGATCTGCATAATTAGACGAACCAGTATTTTCCAAACAGTCAAATGCGCAGTGTTAACAAAATCATGCATGGGTAAAAGATTAATTCAGAATACAAATGAGATCAAGAGGCTTTAATGCAATGGAGTAAGAAAAGTCCTTGACATGATTTCAGTCTCCATACAGCAACTAATATTGAAGAAAATACCACCTGTTGCAGTTTTGGTATAGTAATCAAGAAGAACATCCACAATTATCTGAACAGACTATTGAACCACTCCTCCTGGGACCAGCAGTTGACATAAAGGCTATGTCACTGAACTCCGATGTAGTTGACCACGGTTCGAATCCTGGACCCGGAGGCTTAAACTCATGTGGGCATGGGTGCATGTGTGTCCAAGATCCCAAGAGGAGAATGGAGGAGAAAGGATTGCAGCATGGCCATCCCCTCTGGGGGGTGATTTCTCACTTTCTGTCTCTCTGTCTTTCTCTCTTTTTGGTGAGTGCACACGCCCTATAGCAAAAAGCCTCTCCAAAAAGAAAAGCACTCCTCCCGTTTCCAAATAAATATGAGATCAGAATTTCTTTGCACACTTTAATTAAAATATATACCACAACAAATTGAATGCAGATAGTAAAAGATATTTATAAAAACATAATGTCATGGGCCAGCAGGTGACGTGGTGGTTAAAGACACTGCATTCCCATATAGTTGACCATGGTTCAAGTCCTGGACTTGGTAGATTGTCTTCTTGATTTCCCTTTCTCTCTCCCTCTGGTCAAATTAAAAATAATAATGACAGGGAACCAGCAGTTAGTGTAATGGCTATGTCGCTGGACTCCCACGTAGTCGACCACGGTTCGCGTCCTGGACCCGGTGGCTTAAAACTCACACCGGGCACGTGTGCATGCGTGCCCAAGATCCCGAGAGGAGAATGGAGGAGAAGGGATTGCGGCGTGACCATCCTCCCTGGGGGGTGATTTCTCACTTTCTGTCTCTATGTCTCTCTCTGTCTGTCTGGCGAGCGCACGTGCCCTATAGCGAAAATCTCTCCAAAAAAAAAAAAGAATAATAATAATAATGACAAATAGAATTAAATAAATAAATCTTTTTAAAAAATGTAATGTCATTCCTCTCACTGTATTTTAAAAGTATACAGTTTTTTGGGACCAGCCTAAGCCATAGCAGTTACACTGCTGGACTCCCACGTGGCCAACTGTTGTTCAAGTCCTGGACCCAGTGGCTTCAAAATCACACCAGGCATGTGTATGCATGCCCAAAATCCCAGGAGGAAAATAGAGGAGAAGGGCTGGTGGTGTGGCCATACTCCCTGGGTGGTGAGTTTTCACTTTCCCTCTTACTGTCTCTATCTATCTCTCCAGCAAGCTCATACACCCTAAGGCAAAAAAATACCTGATTTTTTAAAAAGTAGTTATTTTAAATTAAAATATATGATTTATATTATCATACAATGGATATTACTTTTTTTTTTTCCTAGAGATTTTTTTCTATAGAGAAATAACCTCCCAGGCAGATGGCCCCACTGCAGTCCCTTCTCCTCTCTTCTCAGGATTTCTGGCACACATACACACACATGGCCTGATGTGAGTTTTCAGCCACTGGGTCTGAGACTTGAACTGTGGTCAACTATGTGAGAGTCCAGCAACGTAACTGCTATGCCAACCGCTGGTCCCATGGGTATTAATTACTATTTTAAATAAGTATATATATATTTGCCAGACAGACAGAGACATGGAGACAGAAAGCGAGAAATCACCCCCCCAGGGGGGATGGTCACGCCGCAATCCCTTCTCCTCCATTCTCCTCTCGGGATCTTGGGCATGCATGCACACGCGCCCAGCATGAGTTTTAAGCCACCGGGTACGGGACGCAAACCACAGTCGACTACGTGGGAGTCCAGCAACATAGCCATTACGCTAACTGCTGGTTCCCAGTGTAAATGAATCTTGAGATCAAACAGTTTGACAGTCACTGTCTTCAATCAAACGTAGTAAGAGATATTTATGATGATAATAAGCAATAGTTTAAACTGCAAAAGATTACTGTGAAAAGAATTCGAGTCAGAACACCAGAGGACCTATGCGACTACAGGCCGCATGTAGTATATATCATACTAAGTAACTTATGGGAACTCCCACGAGAGATAAACCTCATGCCGATCCTGCCTAGAAGCAGAAGGGTAGAGAATAAAAGGCTCATTTCATTTACATGAAAATTTAATTCTGTAACTCTGTTTACAAAAACCATCTTCATTCCATTTTCCCAAGCCATTTGACACTCTTTTTTACAAGGACTGAAGTTAGCTGGACATATCAGCCTCGATTTGATGCAATATAATATATTCTTTCAATCTGATCTTCAGAAGTCTGATGGCTTTTACAGACAGTATTCATAATGATCTCTTTTTTAACAACAGCTCCAGAAATCACCTTTCTTCCATCATGTTTCTTAGGCTTATCAACTTTCATAAGCATTCCCCATTTACTCCTTACTTTTAAAAAAAATTTATTTATTAATTTATTTTAATTTGACCAGAGAAAGAGACACACAGATAGAGAGGGGATGGGGGACGTGAGAAATCAAGCCACCAGGTTCAGGACTCGAACCATGGTCAGCCATGTGGGAGTGTCCAGCGTCTTAACCACTATGCCACCTGGTGGTCCCTACTCTTTACCTGTTTACCATGTGAAATATTTCATAATTATGCTTACCACTGACATGGTCATATATTGTATACCAGCCTGCAATTCCATATGGCAAGGCGTAGCCAACTCACTGCAGAGAATCTCACTAAAAACTGTAAATAAAGATTTTTTAAGTGAAAGGATTGAAAGGGGGCACTTTTACCAAGGGCTGAAGTGTTTCAGAGGCTGTGCTAAATACATTTTTTGCCTTTAATAATAATGCCTGTATCAAGGTCAAATGTGCCGTCTTCACCTGTGTGGGACAAGACAGCTGCATCAACTACTTCTAGCTTGGTTGCAAAATTTCTTTGGCTCTGAAAGAAGAGTCTAAAATCTTAGCTCCAATGGCCACACCAGCACCAAACAGACTTTTGGAAGCCAAGGTTTTCAAGATCATTCTTTGCCCTTTAAAAATCATAGCAGCCAAATTCCAGAGGGCCTAAAATAAGCCCAGCTAGTCCAGGTATCAAATGAGAGAAAATTTT